AGTCCCCGAGAGCTTTCGTTCCGATTTTAAAATTCCGTTCCAATTTTAAAATTCCGTTTCTTTTGGTGCCGTTTCCCGACGATCGCTCCGAGGGAGGAGGAGAATAATGAGCGGGCTTTGATAGGGATCAGAACGGAGCCATTTACTGCGGGAACTCCGAGCATTGTTCTGCCTCTAAACGTGAATTATGGAATCACAAGCCATTCACCGAGTCATAGATTACAACGAACTGCAACGGCATTACAGCAGCAGCACAGCCCTCGGATCAAACCCACACTTATCACCTCCTTCAGCCCTCGTTAACAACCCAAAGTCTGTTTTAACGACCCAAACAATCTGTTTTGGGGCAGGCTCAGGGTGGCACTTTCAGCCGGTGAACCCCTGTCCCTCCCTTAAAATAACTCTTTGGTGCTCCCGTGTCACTCCGGCTCCGGTTAAGTTTTAAATACATTTATTTTCCGCCTCGGTTACACCCTTTAAATCCTCCTAATCACCAGTCAAATAAACTTCAGATGGTTTAAAATCTATGTGACTAAAGGGCAGCCCTGGCCCGAGCCTTTGTACAAGATTACCTGCTGCAATAAAAAACCATCACAGAGTGTACAAGTAACTGTGTGTAAATGCCAAAAAATGAACTCCAAATGTCAGGAAAGCGCCAAAGCAGCCACGTGCCCTGAGAATTGGGGAGTGATGTGCTCAAGTGCTAAAGGCAGGGATTGGCAGCTGTTCTGGCAGAGATTTGGGAAATGAGAAGCAGGATTTGCCTTTTCTTACCCCAGTGAGACTTTCCTGACACCTGAATCCCCCTCACCCTGCTCTGCTCACCAGTCCCAGCTCCCACCACCAGCATTCCCAGCAATCCCAGACCCTGGGAATAAGCAGAGCTGGTCTCTGACTTTACAGGGATGAGTGGGATGATGGTGGGATGAGCTTCACCACCACTGCTGACCCCTCTGAGCCCCTGCCCACACTGATCAGGACCAACAGAAACATCCTGGTGTCACAGGAGCAGAGGTTTGAATCAGAAATGAGAGGGTGTTCGAGCAGAATTTAATTATCAAGTGCACAAAACGCTGAGGGCTCCACAATCGTGTCAATGAGAGCATTTGCTTGGCTTAATGTCTTGGGTAATTGGCTGCTTGGACTCATTACCAAGAAGTTCTCGGCATTAATGATGATTTTAAGGACTCTAAAGAAAAACATTTATGGGGAGATGAACGGCATTGTAGGTTCAATAATCAACATCAGTGTAACTTCAATTTTAACGTGGTTAATCTGTCATTTACCCAGGAAAAAATGAACTGCCTTCTACTACAAACAGGTTTTTTTCCCCCCATATCTGGGGACTTCCACTGTCCAGGGTTTCCTGAAGCTTTCAAGCCTGCACATGCAGCTCTTCACCCCCACAACCACCAAACTCTGCATGACCAGAAACACAGGAGGGGAATTTAAGTCCTCGGGGAGGAAAGTGCAGGGAAAAGCAAAATTACAAAGAAGGGAAGAGAAAATAAAGCAAAGTGCAGGAATTGAGATACCCCAGTGGCTGCACAGACACTGCTCCTGCTGTACCCCAATGCCAACCCACACCACCCATCCTCCCTGACATTCCAGGGAATTAAATAAGCTTTTAAGGACGTTTTGAGCACTCGGAAGGAACATCTGGGGAAAAAAAAGGGCATTAAATTCAATAGGAACGAGACCCTCCTGCCCTGGATGGAGTGTGTGGACGGGCACAGATCCTGGCAGAGACTTCCCCCCTTGGTTTGACATCCTCAAAAGGCAAATGTGGGCAGAGAGAGCTGTGGTTCCTGGGCACCCTGGGCACACTCACCCTCGTAGGTGGCCTGGAAGCCTTGGGCGCTCACGGCGTAGTCGCTGACGAGCCACAGGGACAGCAGAGCCCCCGAGCTGACCACGGGGGCAGGCAGCTGGAACCCTGTCAACCTGCAAGGAAACAACAGCAAGGTCACACTCCCCGTGCCAGGCAGCTGGAACCCTGTTAGCCTGGAAAAAAAACAGGAGCAGGGTCACACTCCCCTCCCCATCCCTGCCCTGGAGCCACCACAGCCCCACAGGGGGGGACAAAGGGGGTTCAACAAATCCTGGGCAAACCCACCCTGGACTTTGAACATCTTCTGGCTGAGCAGAACTCATAGGGTTCTTTACTGATTGTATCTCAAACCACCTTCTCTGCTTCACACCTTGCTCACCAACACCTGCCTGGGGCTTTTATAACTCACAAACCCTCCCCTTTTATAACTCACAAACCCTTCCCTTTTATAACTCACAAACCCTCCCCTTTTATAACTCACAAACCCTCCCCTTTTTTAACTCACAAACCCTCCCCTTCACCCCTGGCCAAGGTGTTTTCTGAGCAGGTTTCCAGACAGGACATTTGTTTTAAAGCAACCTCATCATCCTGCCATTCCCAAGGCCAGAAATTCAGGTGCAATCCCTGCTCTGCCCTCAAACCAGACTTCCACAAACCACAGGGGCAGCAGGCACTGCAGGAACTCGGTGTCACTGGAGATCCAGGGTGTTCAAGCTGGATCACAGGGGCAAGAGCAGCACGAGACAAACAGGAAAAAAGGAAGTTTCAAGCCCCTTACACTCCGAGGTTCATCCCACATCGTTGTGCAGAGCCAGATTTTCTGCCAGGGAGGGCAAAGGACCTCCTGGGATACAAAGCACTGGGACCTTCAAGAATGTCTGTGTGGTTTTGATTCAGGGTGTTTGCTCTCCTCATATTTGACAAAAGCACCCAGAGAACAAAATCAGATCTTTCATTTTGGGGGCCCCCCATCCTCCCCCTGACCATTTTTACTGCCAGCCCAAGAAATTCCTCCTCAACCCCATCAGCAGCCCCAGAGGCAGTGAGGGAACTTCCCAACTCTCACTCTGGCCCTGATTTAGCAAACCTAAATATTATTTCCCACAGATTGAGCTCTGACTGATGGGATCTGACGGGCTCTGCCTGAGAACCTGATTAAAGCTGCTGGCAGAGCTCACACTCTTGATGCCCACTCCTGATGCCCACGATGCCAGGGCAAGGCTGAACGCCAGCAAAGCAGCACTGACCCACCCTGGGCATCAAACCCACTGTCTGGGCAAGCTGGGGGAGCAATTCCTCCTGCCTGCTGCAAATATAAGGCTCCAGGATCAAGGATTCAGCTGTCACCATGCACAGAACTGAAGTGACACTGCTTTTTATATTAATTAATTCCTCAGTTTAATTAAAGTGGCCTCCTGAACATTCACAAAATCCAGGAAATGCCTGGACCAGCTTTAATAAAAGCCCCCAATGGAGAGCAGAACCAGCTCAGTTTATCCTCCTCTAATCACCCCAGCTGATGATCCCTTGGAGTTTGGGAAGGGATCCGGGTTTTTCCACCCATCCCAAGGGGATGCAGCTTTTGCACCGAGAGGATCCCCCTCTCTGCACATGTTGCTTTTAATTCAGGGCTGCAGAAACGTCCTTTACCTGTCAGGAAGTGCTCCTGTTCCCTGGGAACCACTGGGAATTCAGTGGGATCTGCACCAGCAGTGCCCTGGGGCGTTCGTACCAACCCAACCCCTATTTTCTACTTAAAAGAAAGTGCCTGTGCATAAGGGCATGAAATTGTAACTGAGGGTTGTTCTCACTCTTGCTACAGATCCCACACTGCCTGGAGAGACAATTTCCAGGGGAACCTCGGGGCTTCCTGAGCCTCCAGAAATTATTGAACCCTCCAGGCACCCAACTCAGAGGGTCACTCCTGTCTTTCCAGCAGCAAAGGGGCTGCCTGGCAGCATAAAGGGGGACCAAACGCTGTGTTCCCCCGAGATCAGACAGCCCTTCTGCCCACAAAGTGCCCCCATCAGTGCTAAAACTAAACTTACTCAGAAGCAAGCAGGAAATATTGCTTTGATTGGGAAAAATATCTATATAGCAACTCCTCCCCTGTGCTGGACAGAGCTCCCTGTCTCCTCCTGTGCTGGGAAGGAGAGGAAATTCCTCCTGTTTCTCATGGAAGTCAAAATAAAAGTTCTTCCTCCTCTGAAGCCTCCAACCAATACACACAACTGGCATTTTTTCCTCCTTTGATGGAAGAGCCCAGGCAACATCCTCTCGAAGGAACAATAATTTACCCCTGTCCATGTTCAAAACCACCCCAGGAAAAGCTCAGCTCTCCTGTTCCAGAGCCCCAGGACAGCCAGGCTTGGCAGGACACTCCTAAATCCAGGCAAAATGAAAGCATGGGAGGGAGAGAACATGGAATCATCCCCCA